CGAAGATCACTTGGCTCCAGCCACACTGGCCTTCCTTCTAGTTCCCAAACTTGCCAAGCCCCTCTAATCCCTCCTCTTCTTGGAGACCTTCAGAGGGGGCATCATTTGTTTCTTGTCTTTGTGTGGGCCTCTGCTCAAATACCACCTTTTTAGAAAAACCTCCCAGACACTATAACTCTATTCCATCTATAACTAGTGTGACCATATAATTCATTGCCCAAACCAAGACAATTCAACAAACATAAACTGGGACTGTCCTAGGGAAAGATGGAAGCAAGTATAGATCTCCCAACAACCCTCCCAACCACGTTGCTTTCTATCTCCTTACACTAAGCACACTTCACTATTTAACTGTATTTTCTTGTTCATGTATTTATTGTACGTTTCCTAACCTGAGGTTTGTCTAGGAGTTCACCATTGACTTCCCAGGGCCTCGGCACATTGTAGGGATGAATAAATATTTGCCAAGTGAACCAATTTCATCTCAGATGCAATGCAGACTCAGGATTTAGAAAGCAAATGTAGATTTCTGCTTTTCTGAATTTTAAGATCCCTCCTTCATTCCTTCAACAAATATTTAACAAATATCTGTTATAAACCTGGTCCCGAAATTCTGGGCTCCTATCTTCATGTGTTTTATAGTCCAGTGAGGGAGAAATCACAGTTTATTCATCAACTATGTTGTAAAAGAGAGCCCAGGATACATGGCATTATGATGACCTCATCTGAGACGTGAAGGTAGAAGGAACCCTTGGCCTATGGCGTGAGGGGCAGGGAATTCCCAGGCAGAGCAAACAGCCTGTGCAAAGGTACTGAGGCTGGAGAGAACAGGCCATGTTGAAGGGACCAAAGGAAAAAAAAGACCAATGTGGCCAGCCCTTAGGCAACCACAGGACATGGGGTTGGGGCACAGTGATGACAGCAGTGGTAGCTAGAAAGATAGGCAGTATGTAGCCTTTGAAAACTATAGTATTTGGCCTTTATAAAGGAGCAGTGGGAAGCCATTAGCTTAAATGGCTTTATTAAACCATTCTCCTTCAGGTCTTCAGGCTCTGAAAGAAAATGGCCATAAAAACCATGTGAAGTAATGTGGGAATAAACCAATTCAAATCAAGAAATATTTTTTTAGTGCTTTCATACACAATGAAGTGGAAGGAACATGGATTTATCAAACATGTTTCTACACTACAGTCAAATGGGGCTGAGGAGTAAGGCTTTTCACGGTGAGACAGGCAAAGCACCAAACGTGAGGTGCAGAGGGGGCAACAGGGCAGCAGGACAGACATCTAAGCTGGGCCCACCTCAACGTGGGGCAGGTGCACAAGGTTTCAAGAAGAATGTGTGTCTAGTGTGAGATGTGGTGTCTTACCAATGGGTTTCAGCCCCAGGCAACTTTGCTATGGATTCAGTATGACCAAAGAAATTGACAGCAAAATGTTCTTGGGGTGAAAGGGTTATACCCAACTTTATCTCCACAGTGGCAGGTCAGTCAATAAAATCCCGTTCACTCTGCATGGCGAGTCCGCATGCAGCAAGCTGGTCTACCTCTGTGCCCTTCTGCCCACATAGCCATCCTCCAGGCCTCTCTGCCTGCACAGCCATCCTCTGGGCCCCTCTGTCTGCACAGCCATCCTCTGGGCCTTTCTACCTACACAGCCGTCCCACACAGCTGTCCTCTGGGCCTCTCTGCACAGTCGTCCTGCACAGCCATCCTCTGGGCCTCTGTCCTCAGCGCTGCCACCAGTCCAGCCTCTGCTCTGCTCTCATGCAGCCTTGCAGCCATGCTACTGTGTTGCACCCAGAGCACTGGGTGGAGCTCTTTTTTATAGAGTCAACAGCCATGTATGGCCCACAGTGTGCAGTGAGCTAGTCAACCAGGGCCAGGTGAGAATCCTGGCCCCAGGAACTCTCATTTTATCCACACTCCACCCCTCCAGGATTCTCTCCTCTCAATCTATGTGCCCTTAGTCCTCTGCAATGGTCCCTGTGCAAGGAATTTCAAACATTGTTCTCCAGCCTCTCCAGCAAAAAGTCTTGCAGACACACAGGCCAGACTCGTGGCTCTGTCTCTGACCTCTGCCTCTTTGGTCTTAATGGCTTGAACTGCTGCACTGGTTTCAGTTGTTGCCACAGCTTCAGTAAGATCCTATTTGGCTTCCTGTCTAATTTTCTTCCTTCTACTCCTGCCTGTATTAAATCAACCCACATCTGGGTCCTTGTTACCTTCATGGGACCCCTTAAATTCTTCTTGTGAGTAACAGGTCTTATTTCTTTCCAGGTTCTTGTTGCTTCAGCCTCTCCTAAGTCTGCTATTGTACATGTCACCTCACATTTTGTAATCGCTGCCTCAAGGCGGGGTGCACTGTCAGGGAAGACAGCTTCCCCATATCTGATCCCAAAAGAACAATTTCATTCACCCCTAAGTCCCACGCCCCCCAGCTCAGCCTGAGTACAGGGGCAGAGCATAGAGTACTCCATGACCTGGGGAGGGGGCTGCTTCTCTCCTTGGGGTAACTTTCAGGGGCTGGGTCATTATTTTCTTTACAACCACTGGGCATGCTTTCAGTACAGGAGGGGCCAGTGCCTCCAGCACCATCCCTTCATCTTTCCCCAGTTCCTCCATTTCTGGGGCTGATGGCACCTTTCTCTCCACTCCCCCAAGTGCCTCCTCTGCAGTGCCTTGCAACAATGCCAGCTCAGTCTTCAGAAGCTCTTACCTCAATACTTTGCAGCTGATGTTCTCATGCCACCTCCACCTGTACTTCCTTCAGGAGTTCATCTTTTTCCTTGATGGCCTCTTCCTCCTTCAGAACACCTGGCAGCACTGCTGTCTCGTTCTGTCCAATGGCACCTTGCTGTCAGCACTCTCGTGCCGCCTCCTCTCACATCAAGGCCATTTCCTTCAGGGAATCCACAGAAATTTTCAGCTCGTATTCTCGTGCCGCCTTCATATCAATGCCATTTCCTTTTTCAGGGAATCCACATAAGTTGGCAGCTCACGTTTTCGTGCTGCAATTTCTTCAGTCTCTTCTGTAGACCTTTTTAATACTGTGAGAAGCAGCCAACCCACAGTTCCTGCTGCCTCACAGACACACTTTCTCTAAGGACCTACTTACTATACCAAGGGCCACCCTTACTGCCTCAGGTGTCACCTCCACTTGCCTCCAGTCCTGGGGTGGGGCCCGGTCCTCTAGGAGGCAAGCCACCTCAGACCACATACCCATTAGGGGACAACCCACTGTCTCCCCATTCACAGGGGCAGGCCGCTGAAGCACCCCTCCCATAAGGGCAGCCTGTCATTTTCCTTGGTCAACAATGAATCCTACCAACTATGCCAATTGTCTTGCCAATGGGTTTCAGCCCCAGGCAAGTTCGCTATGGATTCAATGTGACCAAAGAAATTGACAGCAAAACGTTCTTGAGGTGAAAGGGTTATACCCAACTTTATTTCCAGGTGGCAGGTCAGTTACTATAATCCTGTTCATTCAGAGTGAGTGCACATGCAGCAAGCCAGTCTCTGTCTCTGGGCCCTTCTGCCCACACAGCCATCCTCTGGGTCCCTCTTCCACACAGCCATCCTCTGGGCCTCTCTGCACAGTCATCCCGCACAGCCGTCCTCTGGGCCTCTCAGCACAGTTGTCCCACACAGCCGTCCTCTGGACCTCTGTCCTTGGCACTGCCACCACTCCAGCCTCTGCTCCACTCTCCTGCAGACTTGCAGCTGTGCCACCTTGTCGTGCCCAGAGCACTGGGCGGAGCTCTTTTTATAGAGTCAACAGCCATGTATTGCCCACAGGTGTGCAGTGAGCTAGTCAACCAGGGCCAGGTGAGAATTCTGGCCACAGGAACTCTCATTTTATCCACATGTGGTTTTTTTTTTATTTTTTAAAGCAGAAAAGATAATATAATAGATAAGCCCAAGAGGTTGAGGCCCCTTTACCAAGGGCTAAGTGTCTAGCTCAGAGCAGTAGTTAAGTTGAGCAGATCATGAAAGTCCCTGAGAACCTGGGTGGAGGCTACAAGGTCACAACCATTCTGGGATGATCAAAATGGCAAGGAAGGAGGACAAAGGAGATGGAGAGGCCCACAGGGAGGTAGTGAGCTCCTGCCAGAATCCAGGCAGGTGGTAAGGTGTGCTTGCCTTGACTAGTGGGCTGTACCAACAGGAAGTAGGTCACAAGTGACTGCATGAGGACTGAGAAACAGGAATGCTTATGAGTTTGAGGCCAAGAGAATGAATGTGCCACAGGAAGGTGCAGAGATGGTAGTAGTTAAAAGAGCTGGATTTTGAGCACAGTTTGAAAAGGTTCTCTGGTGGAGACATCCAGTGGGAAGTTAGAGGAGGAGGTCTGAAGTTGCAGAGAATGGTTTGGCTTAAGATGGAGCTCTGTGAGCCAGTGACTTGGAGGCGAGATGGAAGTTAAGGATGTTGCAAGCTTTTCTGGACATAAAATGCAAGAATCCCCTGCACAAATGTCTCCTCCAGAGCCCTTCCTCAAACTAGGGTTGGAAGAGAGAAACACTGTCTAGAGCTAGCAGTCTGGTCGTACCAAGGCTCATTTTTCTACTCAAACTGCAGAGCCCAGGACAGAGGCAGCAGGAGCTAGGCGCCTGGGTCAGTCGCTGTTGGCACATACTGGTGCCCTGGGGTTCCACACCATGTCACCAGACTCTCTTTAATTCCCACACCTTCTGGTTGTGAATCGGACTTGGAAGAACCAAGGAACTAAAACCAACCAACTCACAATAAGAGGGCTTTATCTGATTCTGCTACTGCTTGCCTTCTGATTCCCTTCGGCTCAGGCAGACCACCTGGGAAACTCATTTCCCCTTTTCAGGGTTCAGAGCACTGGGCTGGCCACCACCCACAATAAGCAGAGATGAAGGTGCCAATCTCATGGCCTAATAAATCTTATTAAAGTGTACCCTCTATAAGGCAGAACCGTATTAATTTGGCGACAGCTTCAGAATCTCTTGTACTTAAATAAGATGCTTATTACCATGGTAATTCCTTTCTCAGTTGAGCAGGTGAGCGCTGCATGGGTTCCCAACCCCGAAATAAAGAGGGTGAGCACAGTTCTCGGTATCACCTAGGGGTGGCGACCCCGCGCCCATGGCTTCCTCCTCCGCTCTCGCCAGCGAACCGCCGCAAGCCCGGGACCTCGCCACGCTTCTCGGGAACTCGCGACACTCAGGGGAGCCCAGCAGCGTCTGGGGGCAGCCAGTTACCGAGCTGCCGCCAGCCGGGGGTTGAACGTCCGCCGCACGAGGCCGCGGGCTGCGCGTCTCGCGGTTAGCCAGCCGCTGGGGCTGGTGGTGCCGGGTTCTCAGGAGCCGGACGGCCGCGCGCACAAACGCCGGGAGGTGCGCGCCGCTGGGACGGGGCCGCGCAGTGTTTACCTGTTGCCAGGACAACGGGGCGGAGCGCCCAGTCGGAGCCCCAAGTCCGCGCCCGCCTTCCTGGGAGTGTGCGCAGCTTCCTCCCTACCCGCCGCGTGGCGCTGGCTGGGTCATTTCGCCTCGCGTGGCTGCCACAACGGCTGCGAGCGCCCGGTGTCCCCCTCGGCCCTGGGGCCTCTGTGCTTACGGGACCGGACCGGCACAGGCGGGCCGCGGGCGGTGCTCGGGCGTGTATGGTACTGGCCTTAGAGTGGGCCACTCAGATGTGAGTTCGAACTCAGCCGCTCACTGGATGACCTTGGAGAAGTCATTCAAAGACTCCATGACCTTTGGAAAATGAGATAAAGCCTTTGAGAGTTGAAATGCGAGTAACTTGGTGAAACGTTTATGAGAGGGCCTAATACAGGCCTCAAGAGAGTAAGGGCCTGAAAAAAAGTTCTTAGACTCCGCGTGGAATTAAGAAAGAATACTTTAGGTACACTTCAGCTTCCAGCCTCGTGAGTTCATCCCAACATTCTCCCTGCAGGGTACAGAATTTGGTGGCAGGACTCGCATTCCTTTTACGACTCTTTCTTTCATTCAACAGTTATTGAGCATCTACCGTGTCATGCCTGACAGTCAGTTGTAGGTTCTGGGAATTCAGCCCTGAATGAAGCACCGGTCCTGTTCTTAACCGTTTTATTGCTGGTCAGGGGGCGGGGTGGGGGGTGGTCGTGTTGTAATCGGGGACACGGCAGACATTAAAAATAATAGGTCCAACAGGGTATATTGCATTGGGTGTATTAAATTGATGTGACTACTGGGTGTTCTTTTAGATTGGTGGCTGGAGAGAATCTGAGGAGGTGACATTTAAACTGAGATTTGGATAATAATAAGCTATACCAAGATCAGAGGACAAGACAGTGCATGCCCAGGTGTAAGTCCAGGGAAAGGAAATCCCGGGGCAAAATACCTCTAAAAATCGAAATCAGTCAGAGAGAAATAATGTTTAAAACCCGTTTATTGCTCACAAACTGCATTCCCAGCCTCTCTTTCCTGCTCCTGCAGAAGCAAAACCGGCCCTCCCCCTCATCTCTCAGGTATGGATAAGCCCTCCTAGCCCAGGTAATTAGCCATTGATATGGATATGAACTTTTCTCCACCCCCTGAGGAATGATGCAAATACACTAAAGCCATGCTTCTTTCCACCTCTGAACGTGTATTGATATGCAGATGTACTAAAGCCGGGAGAGAGCTTCTGGAAATGTTACAATTTTACCCACACTAGGACAAGAGGAGACTGGACTCAAGAGCAGAAGTTGGGTCTTGAAAGGCTGTGCAACCAAGGATAGGTGTTTTGTTTGTCTTCTTTTGATTGATGAACTGGCTTCCAAAGGGGAATATTTTTGTACCAGGTTCTCATACATAAGCTTTACAATTCATCAACAAAGAAAACCCAAGTTCCAACTACTTTTAAGTTGGTAGTTTTTTCCATGTGTCCTTATGCCCTTGATAAGGCAAATTCTACTGCCTGCACTTTCTCCTCTGCTGGCCCCTCCCTTAATCCCCCAATGAAGGCTGCCCACACTCCCTGCTTACATTTCTTTGAGTCCTCAACTCTCTCGGGTTAACCCTTATTGGGGTCACTTTCCAATTTGTTCCAGCCTTGCTTTTCCTGGGTTCCAGACTGGAGGTCCAGAGCCCTGCTCCAAGTTTTAAAATTCAGCTGTCTCAAAAGTACACTGGGGGTGATGTGAAAGGTATGTGGGGACAGGGGGATTGACTGAGCAAAGTGTTAAGAGGAAAATTTCAGAGTGATAGAAATGTTCCACATCTTGATTGTGGTGGTGGTGACACCAGGGCAGGGCTGGCTACATAATTTTGCATGGTTCAGTGCAAAATGAAAATATGGGGAAGAAGGAATAAATGGCACTAAAGTACTAAATCATGAAACTTTCCTTTTTCCTGTGGACTCTACTAAACTGTCATGCTGTATTTGCTATTTAATCTTGTGTTTCCCTGGAGAATAGGACCACTTCCCTTCCCAGGTATCTTGCCTTCCCACAGGCTGCCACCCCACATGGGTGACCTACAAGGAAGTGCAACCTCTGTGCTGCAATGTGCTTGGTACTTACATCCTGATGGATGAGATGCTCATGTGTTTTCTGAATGTGCTGTCATATCCTGTCCAGAGACATTTGGATGCCAGCCTGACCCTGTGGTGGGAGATGGGGGTGGTGGTGGAATGGATAAGAGTCAGGGTTAGGGGAAGTGGGGGTGACAATTATGAGACTCAGTAGAAACTCAGGCGGCAAGCCCCTCTTGAAGGGTCCCCACCAGTAAGATGGCAAACTTC